TTTTCATCATAGGTCCAGCCAGATGGGAGAGGTGTTGACCTTGCCATGTCATAGCCATGAAGACTGATGTCGATGTCACTCTCGGCGGTTCTGGCTTTCTTACGAGTCCATATGGTCACCTGTTGATCGAACCGTCGACGACGATCTTGGAAACTTTCAGATGGTGGTGGTGCATACAGAGGATCAACTGCCATTGGTGCGGGCATTGACGATGAGGAAGTTTCCACTTCAGGCCTTGAAGGAGGTTCAGCCTTTGGAGAATCCAGATCATGGTCCTCAGGAACGGGTAGATCAGCTGGATCTGGAAGACTCGTCGGAGGCTCGGCATCAACACGTGGTGTTTCCATGTGCGCCGGTTCACCCATTGGCTCTTCAAAGTCATCATCATCTAGTTCTGGTAGTTCAGGATGTCTTTCATAAGGCTGCCGCTCTTCCGGCTGTGGCTCCAATGGTTCTGTTGAGGGATCTTCAGGAGGGTCTGGAGCAGGTAGAACCGACGGTCTTTCCGCTGCCCGTGACTGAATTGCTTCTTGCATAGAGCGATCGAATGCTCGTTGCACTCCTTCAGGTAGTCCAGATGAGGACATAGTCACTGGGGCAGGTGGTTCTTCAGCAATGGAAGGAGCGTAGTCGGACAGTTCGGGGTCCACCTCATCGATTGAGCGCTTGTTGGCTTTGCGCAAGTCGATAATTCTGACTGCCCTTCTCTGCCTCAGATTCTCCAGAGCTTGTTGGGCTCGTTGAGCTGCACCAAGTTGTCCACTGTCGCTGACCATCTTCCGAACGTGTTGAACTCCAGCACGAAGGAGCACCGTTCCATGTGCAATCCAGTACACAGCGATGGTCCCGGTATCTGGGTTGCGCTCAACAGCTACAACAACTGCTGGTCCGCGCCAGCGAATCGTGTGGGCTTTGTCCGGGAAGTCCCGCCAGTAGTAGCAGCGTTCGCCAGGAAGGAGTTCTTCATCTTTTCCTGTGAAGCGTCGCAACAAGGCTCTTCTCAGCTTGACGTCAATCTCGGCTTTGCCACAAGCACTCTGTGCAGCGAACTTCATTTGGAGTCGTTTGTGGAGTTTCTCCTGCTCAGTCAGCTGAAGCTGAAGCGGGCTTGTTCGCTCGTCTGAGAGACGTCCGGGAAGTGCAGGTTCACGGCCAAGAGCGAGCTGAGTAGGCGTGTAGCCGTTGACGAAGGTGCTGCTGTTCAAAGCGGGTATGACCCAGGACAATGCCGTGTGCACTCCATCGAGTCCGGTGAGGTCATTCTCCATCATGAAGATCGAAACAGCTTTGCGCACGATCTGGTGTCTTCTCTCAACGATGGAGGTGCGAGTGTGCGCCTGTCCAGGAGAAATGCGGATCTCGATGTCGTTGTTCTCGCACCACTGCATGGTGGCATCTGACGCCCAGCCAGTGCCCTCATCCACATAGAGTTGTCGTGGTGGTCCATGATGTTGAACCCAGGCACGTTCTAGGGCTTTCTGGAGTGTGGGTCCTTTCTCATCCATGATGGTGCGAGCCGCCATATATCTGGTTGCAACGTCAACCATGACCAGGATGGCGATCTTGCGAGCTTTCTGTCGCTTTCCAGGCTCTCGAACAGCTCCAACTTCGTCGAGGTCGAGCCAGAGAACGTCAGCTTGAAGTTGGGCGTTGAACTCAGTGGGGCGATCAAGATGTCCAGGTGCAGTTCCCTTCTTGACTGCATGTGCCTCACAGAAGGGGCATTCAAGATCTTGGACCGCTGCCAGGACCTGTGGACTGCAGTTCCTGCTTTTCAGGGTGTTAAGCAGGACGTCTTTGCGAGGGTGTCCAAGGTTCCGATGAAGGCGCTGTGCAATGCGAGCTGCTTCTGCACCGTGGGCGATGGCCAGCTTTCTGAGAGCACCCGTGAGGGGAGCGGTTGCTTCGGTCACTGCATAGACCTGTTCATGAAGTTCTTCATCAAGAAGTAGTGCTCGGGCCAGATGTGCAGCCATCTCCTCCTGATAGTTCTCAGCTCGTTTGCATCGATTGCGTCCTTCAAGGCGCTGATGAACATGCTGTCCGTTGCACCGCTTGGACATGATCTCAAACATAGCCCATTTTGTGGTCTGGATGCGGGTGGTCTTGAGGATGGGCATCTCATAGCCATCGTCATTGAGGGTAGTTGCACCATAGGCACACTGATCGAAGATTGCCTTGTGGCCAGGCAAGCTTCTCAGCTGTTTGGTCTCCCAGGCCAGGCTAAGGCGTGGATGCTCAATGTGAGCATGAGAGCCGCGGCGAACTTGCTTGAGGTAGAGCTTCTTGCACATGGTGAGGTGGGTCTCGGCATCAACCTCTCGGCGTTCTGCAAGATCAGCCGCTTGCTGCTCATTGGTGACGTTGATCTGCTGCATACGTGACCAGAGCGTGCACTTCGGGGACATGTAGATCTCGTCTGGCTCAAGGTCATCACACAACCGCAGCAGTTGTTTTCTGTGGTTTGCTCGGCTGAAATCCCAGCCGTCACGGAGGCCAAATCTCATCACCTCCACATCACCATGGGCCTGCAGGAGACTCGTGATCTTGCCCTCGCCAACATAGACCTCCCAGATCAGCTTTCTTCGTCGATGCTGACCTCGATCACGAGCATGGAGGATCTCTTGTTGGACGTGCTTCTCGGTCTCCTGGAGTTGGGCTTCGATCCATGACATGGTCTTTTGAAGCTGCTCGAGGGTCTTGACGGTCTCTCCAGGCAGAAGCGGGGCTCGATCATCGTGATCATCTGCTTCCATGAAGGTCTCCTCAGGGATGAGGTTGGGCTCGGAGGCGAAGTAGGTCTTGACCTCGGTGGTCATCTCAAAGTATCGTTCATGGGCGTTCAAGTCGTCCAGGAACTCGTTCAGGTTGGCCTTCTCTGAATGGTCATCTTCGCAGCGGAAGTCGAAGACAGGTGACTCGAAGGCTTGTGGGTCGCTCACATTCGCCGCCAGGCGAAGGAGCATTGCACCTTGTCGACCGCGAGGAATGTCATGCCATTCTTGATGAAGTAGTCGCATCTTTGAAGCTCCGAAGTTGACTTCGGCTTGAAGTGCCTCTAGAAGTGGTCGTCCAAAGAGCATAGGAGTGGCACCGTAGATGATGTAGGCTTGGATGCGACCGGAGTGTCCCGCGATGTGGACTGGAAGTTCCACCATCCATCTCGCATGCCCGGAGGCGTCTCCTCCGAACTTGAAGGACTTGTCGCAGCGTTTGAAGATCAGGCTGTTCATGGGATAGCCGATCATCTCGAGCCATTTGAAGTAGCGCAAGGCATACTCAGTGCCGATCAGAAAGGAACTTGCTCCCTGATCTTGGATGCAGGTGTCCGGCTCAGCAGTCAGCCAGCCGCCAGCTCTGACTAAGGCCTCGCCTTCAGCATAGGCGTCCTCCACGTCGTAGAAGATGTCTTCCTCAGCCGTGATCTCGCCATCGTCGAAGGTGTTGAGGTCAGGTTCAACGGCCATGACCATGTGGATCATCGGGTCCTCGAGATCAACCGGCCGCTTCTTTGCTGGCGAAGAGGATCGGCCAGCTGAAGGACAGTTTGCTGCGAAGTGCCCTTGCTTTCCGCAGCGTAGGCATGTCAGTGCTGCTTTGGCTCGATTCTTCCCAGTTGGGCCTTTTGAGAAGCCCTTGGATGAAGTGCCCTTGCCCTTGGACTTGTTCTTGGATTTGCCGCCCTTGGAGGGTCCTTTGGAGTTCTGAGCCATGACTGGTGCTTGGCCCTTGCCATCAACAACGGCGACAACAGGGTAGAATCCTCTGCTTTGTCTCAACTGGTTGAGCCGCTGTTTGGAGTCCACGTAGGTGGAGTAGATCTCGTCGAACTCATCGGTGTCGAAGAAGTGCTCAGGATCCTCAGCGGTCTCTTCATAGTAGGTTCCCTCTGGGATCTCGGGCTCAAACCATTCTTCTGTCTCCTGGTAGTCAGGGTCATCATCCGCATCCTGGAAGTAGGACTCTTCAATGTCATAGAGCTCGTCAGCAACGTCCTCGTCCCAGGCCATGTGGACGGACTGAGGTCTCTTCCAGCGAGAGAGCTGCTGTTGTCGGCGGAGATGATGAGGGATGTGGACCTGCTGGTAGTCCTGACCGAAGAGGAGGAACAGGGATTGTTCCACCGCACCAAGGGTCAATGTTGACCCAACCTGAGTCTGAACCATCTGCTCCTGTTCTCTTGTGAGTCCAGCTCTTTTGAGCATCATCCAGCCTGTGACCTCTTCGGGAAGGTCCAGCTTGTGCTTGGTGATCTGGCGCAACACCTGGTGGAACTCGGTCGTGTAGTCCAGTAGGGTTTGGTGTTGACGCCTTTTGAGCTTGAAGAAGAAGGCATCGAAGCTGTTGGGCATCTCCACCTTATCGTCGAATGCCCATTGCCTGTCCAATCTCTTGAGCAGGATGTCCAGGCCATTCTCGGATTCGAGCTCCTTGAGGTCGAGGTCCTCACACTGCGTCCAGCTTGGTCCTTCAAGAGCAGCTAGGACGTTGAGGGCTACCTCGGACTTGCGTCCTTGAAGCTCCAGCTTCCTCGAGTACAACAGTACTCTGCGCCGCCATTCTTTGTAGGTGGTGGTCGAATTCTCGAAGCGCGGCACATAGTTGTCCTTGAGGTCCCTGGGCCCACCGCCGGCGCCGTTCGCCGATGCACCAGCTGCAGCGGAAGATGGGGTTCCCCTCCGCGTCGGCGAACCAGTGCCCGACATGGCGCACCGCGGGAGCCTCCTCTTTGGGAGGCTCCGCTACCAATGTGAAGATGTGGAAACACGGAAGTGACCACACCTTGCGTATGCGACCGCTCGAGGTGTCGATACGGAACACGAAGCAAAATCTCTTTTCACGAGAGCGTGGCCACCTAAGTGGCTCAAGAGGCCCCTGTGGCCGGTTTGGGTCAGAAAGGCGGGCGTGAGCGGCGACATGCCAAAAGCTCATGCCAACCATGAAACTCAAGTTGGGCGGCGCTCAACTCACAATATGATTATATCATACTACCAAATCCCTCACTCCCATGGTGACCTGGCATGGTTCCCAGGTCCCAAAAATGGGTTAAGGCACCCTCCACCCACCAGTCGAGTTCCAGCGTCGAACTTGGGCGGTGGCGCCGCAAAGTCGAAGTGGTCCTTCACGCCGAAGTGGTTCGCACGGCCATCCGCGCCTGGGCACCACGCCTCGTTGCCCCGGTGGGGGCAGGTATCAGCCACCACCAAGCGGTACTCCTGCAGAACAGGCGCAAGAAGCTGTGAGGATGAAGATATTTAAGAGGATGCCTTTAGCACAATCGTCCAGGATGATAGATTAGAGCAGGAATCAAAAGCTGCTGAACCCTTGGAACCCAGTTGTTTCATAAAGCAAGACTTCAGCCACTTAGTGGCATAATTGCCTCGCGCTGTTTCAGTCTCTGATGGGCCGGGGATCCCATCTGTGGCGCCCCAAGCTGGTGCCATCTGCTCTGAAACCATGTTTTGATTGGCCAAATACTCCAAACAGTATGAGTAGTGGCATTGGCCTCATGGCAGAGGACACCAAATAACAATGAAAAAAGACTTGCGGTATATCCAAGGACGACCGGCAGCGCGTGATATTGGTCGGGAAAAAATTATAACAAAAAAATATAAAACATTACAAAGATTTACCTGCGTTATGTGGGCCAGCTGTCTTGTCTTTGGCAACTTGAAAGTGAAAACACCCATAGACATCCGCTCTTTCAGAAGCGTCTGAACTCACACTTTGGGTTTGGATCCATGGGGCCCGCGAAGAGCCGTGGAGCAGTCTTGTCTTCTTGTTGCGTTTCGCTCTTCTGTTTTCTGAAAGGCTCTTTCAGCAGAGGTGAATGCACTTCCTACAAGACAATGCTGCTAATGAGCTCACATGTGACAATGTTGCATCTTGCACTATGAATTGCTAAATTTGTGAGCTTAATTTCCACTGACTTACACAATGTCATGGGCAAATGCATGGTTATTGTCATGGTTAGAAGGAATCAAGTTTGGAGTCTGTTTGCATGTCGTGTGTCTTCATACATATTTTCTTGTGGGGACCAAAGAAGCTCGATCGGAAGGCCGAACCCTGCAATTTTTGCGCGCTACCTCTCTACAATCAAATCCACCATGGATATTGCAAGCGACCTGCAAAAAGGTCAAGAGGTTGGCTTTCACAAAGTGAGGAGAAAGTTACAGTAACTACTCATCTACTCCTGCGCTGACACGTACACTCCTTAAGGGCCTTTCTTGCAAACCACCAGACCACAAGGCCAGTGATAGGCTTCGATCGAGGCTTTGGCAAGCAATCACCATGGATCAGGCCCGTCGGCCTAAGCCCTTCCAGCCCTTCGATCTTTCCCTTCCCTTCTTCCCTCAACCGACTGGCCCTGGCCGCCCTGGCCGCCCTGGCCAGTCCTCATTGAAGATTGGGTCTTCAGGCTGCGCCCAGAGAGGATACAGAAAGGGGTGTGCCTCAGGGCTGAGGAACACTTCTGTGATCAATCAACATCGACCACAATCATTCTTCGTCGCTGAACCGGGATGATGAGTTCCGAGAAGAGCCCAAGTCACGTCTTTCAAGAATTTCAGAAAATCATAATTTGCGCCTTCAAGAACCTCCCTTTCGCACAGCTCAAGCATCCCATGCCCACTGTGCCATTCCTGCTCGTTGCGGAGGAAGTGCAATAATGACCATCGCCACGGCCCCCCCGTCTGCCTCAAAAGGACAACTCTACTCGAAAAACTTCTCATCCCTTGGGAAAAGAAATCAGTTCAGCAGCTCTACATCTTGGCCCTCGTGGTGTTGGGCGAGTGGAATGGAACGGGGCAAATATAAAGGCCGAAATTCGCAGGATACGATCGTTTTTTGCGGGCTTGATGGTGAAGCACCACTCTCCACGGGAACTTTCTGAGTGATTCTAGCCAGCTGGCATCAACAGAGTTTCTGGAGACCTTTCCATCAGTTGCCTATTCACACTAAGCATCTACACCAATGAACACAGGGTCCTTGAGGTCTTGTGAGCTTGTATACAAACAAATTTATCCACAACAAGAGCCATGTTTCCCTTTTCAAGTTGTTTCTTGAGTCTACACTAAAGCCTACCAAAGCCTTGCATACCCACAGCTCACACCTGTGGTAGATGCCATTTATCCAACCTGGCAGTCTCCTCACACCAGGCCACATCGACTGGGCCGCCGCCACCGCATAAAAGCCAGTGCCATTCACCAGGCGGGCCGTGTCTACATTGCCACAGGAGGCACAGCAGGTGTTGCCATAGCGGGTGGTAGTGGCCAGGTGCTCATAGCCCATGTCTTTTACCAGCACCTCCACAGGAGTACCATGAAGTAACAACAACTCACGCCACCTTGTTCTTGAAAACAAAGTATCCAAAATCCAGAACCATGAAAAAGAAGCGAATGCCCAAATTTAAACAAAAGGATTCCAGAGTACAGGAGCACCAATAAGGAGAGTTCAGGAGGAGGAGAACCCGACGCAACCAACAGGAGGACATTCAACATGCGAAAGCCTGCAAAAGTTGAGCGCAGGATTTCCAAAATGCTTGATTCCAAAACCAGCACCAGTTGACGATAGGACGCTTGTGGGCCTGATATCCAGACTCTCTTTCCCCAGCCCACCTGCAACTCCGCCAAACTGGGGTCGGAGCTGTAACTCACATCCAAAGATTTCAGCGAACGGCTCCAATTCTGCCAGAACTCCACCGTTCTGGCCCTCCCTCCCCGAAGCAACTCCTCTGACTCAAGTGGCAGCAGCGCTGGTGGCGCTGGCACTGGGGCCTCTCCCAGGCGTGCAGCCGCTGGGGCAACTATCAGGAAGAGCTTGGCGATGACGCGAGCGAGATCCCAGTGCAGCCCAGTAGCCTTGCGGTGAGCTTTGCCCGCCATCAGCAGGAAGAGTTTGGAGATGGTGTGGTCGAAATGCAGAAGCCAAACGGCTTTCCGGTTTGAGGCGCTTCGAGGTTCGGCTCCAAGAGATCAACCACCAAACCGACATCTGAGACCCATGGGACCGCCGTCTCTCGAACATGAAAACACTGAGCTTTAAAGAATTCTTAGTAACTCCCTGGTATTATATAAAAAGAAACACAGAGAATGAAACCCAATATGCTATTGATCTAAAGCATTCCCTGGTATATATAGACATAGATATATAAGCTTCAGGTCACATCCCCGAAGCTCATTTGCAAAAACACGTTGTAACTCCAGTGCTCGCGAGCTTTCTCCTCAACAATCTGCACCCTGCACGGATCCAGGGCCCGGGCCCTCTGCAATCTGCCATGGGTGAGCAGCGCCCGTGGCTGAAGGATCTGATTCCCATGTCAGGACTGTCAGGACTCAGGACTGTCAGGGGCAATGGGCCCGGAAACGGGGAAGCCCGACTTGGCACATCCTTACGCACCCACAGATCCCTCGGAACACCCCGACCCGGAGGCTTGGTATTCTTCTGGGGTGGGTGACGTGCAAAAAGCCGTAGACAACGCATGAAGTCTCACTGCGTTTTCTGCATCAATGCTTGTTCCTTTGTTAGCTGAGGACACTTTGAGACGTCCCCTTTCAACCACATTTGCTTGCTCATGCGCTGATGCATCAGCGCAGTTGGAGGATCTCTTGCTTCGGATAGAGCAAGTCCAGCTCTGAGCCCCGGCAATGTGGGAGTGCGAGATCGAATCATCAAGGGCTAGGACCCAACAAAATGTGTGTAGGATCGAACTTCGTGGGTTCAAACCATGATACTAAGTGTGCATTATCTAATACAGTGTGCGTGTGCAGTCCCCCATTTGCAACAATCACGGAATGATAGAAAGGGGAACCATGGGCTATCGGTCACCATGGGCGGTCTCCATTTACTTGTTTAGGCCAAAGGCGTTTCGAACAGGAGCGCCTTCCAACTAGTCCACCTACGCCATCGCAACAGTTCTCTTTTACCCTTCAGTATCCATCATTGGCTCATACAACTCGCTGCGGTGCAGGCATCTGCACCGCTGCAAGGCATAGGCTGCAGCTGCAACCTTGATTTCATTGAGGGCTGTGGGTCAAAACAATGTGCACCTCATGAACACGAGCTTGAAAACGGAGGCACCAAAAGCTTGCCCAAGGTTTTCAGTGCTCACATATCCCTTTCACAAATCCGTTGAGAATGATAAGTCTGATTGCTCTTTCAGCCTGACCGTGGCCAGCTGTGCCAAATGATAACAAAATCCTTACACACCTCTCAGATGCTAAATCCTCTTAGAAGGGCATGCACACGCCAAAGACGCTGTTGGCAATCACCTTTTGCAAGTCTAGGATGAGTTTCAATCGTTGCCTCTACTGGGAGTCAGGTTTCACTGGTGAATTCCGTGATTCTTACACCGGCTTTATCCACTTTATCGCTTCCACCACCAGTCCCCACTCGCGTCCGCGCCTCATAGGCATCGAGTCCATCGGGCATGGCGTCCGGTGCGTCCGCCTGGCAGCGATGCCTGTACAACCATGACAAGTACCGGCTTGTAAACTAGACTCCAGACTGTTGTTGCCCTTGGTGCTCCTGGTTGACTTAAAACCAGAGCATTGGTTTTAAGAACTTGGTGAGCTTCTGGGATTCTGGGCATGACCCTCCAACAGAAAACGACCTTGGGGGCACCCCTAACGCACTGGTTTTACTGGGTGAGGAATAGATCACAACTGGAAAGCCCCATGTTTTGCCAAAAACATTCAGGGTGCATCCAAGGAGACAATCCTGAAAGTGGGTGGCGGCCTTTCACGAGAAGCAGAGAATCACAATGAAGTAAAACAAAGAGAAACAGCTGTTCATTTGAGTTGCTATATTCCAAGACCCATCCATGAAGTTCAAAGGCAAAAAATGAAGCATCACACCGCACCAATCCAAAGCCACAACGTTTTAGTTGTTTGTGACGGGCCGGTATCAACCTCAGCAACTATGATTCACTTGGACAAGACTCAAATGCTGAAGCTGACAACTAGACTCAGACTGCAAATGACGCATGAGTATAACATGATGTCAAAGGTGTCCGATCTTCCAATCAGTCACAACCGACAACTGATCGGATGCGCCATAAATTCCTCCTTCACATCTGGCTGCTTGCAAGCTTATTCCTCAGGAACATAAGTGAAGTCACTTCAGGGGCTCGTGCTCAACCAGGCCTTCTGGAAAGCATCACACCCGCAGGTTGTCATAAGATCTTGGATGACATAGCTTCGTAATTATGTTGGGATTGGGATGTAGACAGGTAGGAGATCTTTACAATCATTTCCAAATAAGGATGGACACTGCACGCTAGAGCTACTCCAAACCTCAAACCACCAGCCAGGTTCCACCGGTTCCCTTTGGTCCGCAACAAACCCGTGTTGTAGTTGTGGCAACAACTTTGAATTGCCTTGGAGTACAAGTCCACTTCTCTCGAACCACACAGCAACAGAGAGACCTACCGCAACAAACATCCCAGTGTTCCGCGGTTGATCTGGTTCTTCCCAAGCATCAGAGCTGGACCCGTCACTCACCGCCTCACAAGCACAGAGGGTTTCGGTTCAGGAAAATGGCTCGGTTGAGGAAGCAAAACACAAACAGGCAAAACTCAAGGCACCTGGGCGTTTGACAAGTATTTGACTCATATGCTCAGACATGGTTTCAGCAAAATCTGTCCGTTGAGACCCGCTGCCAACCCTTCGGTGGCGGTGGCAGTGGGCGTCTGAGACATCTGCAGGATGCACAATACACCCCTGATCTTGGAGGGTGCCCAAAAAAAGCTGGAAATACTCAAAGTCCTGCAATAGATTTCTTACCACACCACTTGGACGGCTATCAAAATGATTCAACACCTGCCTATTTGTTCCAGAAGGACCAGGAAGGACCTTGGACAAACACGTGTATCCAGGTAGCACCGCCCTCGCGTCCGCGATCCCACCTCCGGCAAGTGGGTGAGGCCAGCGCCGACGCCACAAATGATCACACAGCAGCAGGTCACGCAAGGCATCAGAAACTTTAGCAACAAAATGCCTCAGGGCCGACCTACTTGTGGATGCCTGACTTTGGAACACGTAGACTCTGCCCGGAGGTCAGGTAGATCTTCAAATCACTCTAGGGGCAAAAGCACAACAGTATAGCAGGTTTACACCAAAGTAGAGAATGCGAGCCATGTCCAAATCTGTCCTGTCAATTGTTCAATGCCTCCTTTATACATTCCTCTCCAATTGAGGGTCAAGTACTAGGCATACAAATCCCACCTTGGAGGGATACCTGTACCCAAGTATCTGACTAGAGTGTTGTAGATTGTATACCCACATATCTTAAATGGTGTTCAAGAGTTGTGGAACTCACTTCAACTTCAATGCTTCTAGCATCCTCACTGTCCTCACTGCTGCAAACCAACAGCTTGGACACGTAGCTTTGACATAGACCCAGTCAGCACTTGAACGAAAAACGAACCATCACCTCTCCTTCATGAAGCTGTCCAGGCTGTCCAAAACACATATATATTCAGCTTTAAGTCTCAACTCAACCATGGCCTAAGCTCCTCCCCTCCTCCCCTCTGTCCTTCAATCCTCCTCGCCCCCCCGTCGCCCCAAATTCCGGGGCGTCCCACATCCCCGTCCGCGTCCCATCGCCCGAGGCTCCCAGGGTCCAATGTCGCAGCTTCTCCCGGCAGATCTCATCCTCCGGAGAGCTCTTGCAGTACCAAACGATGCCCGAGACTCAGCACGATGCACCACGTGGTGACCCAGCCACCACGATGAGTCCCCAGGTCCGGTCCTGCTAAGTCCCCAGACCTATTTGGAAGTCCGGTGAACAGATCAGACGGGAACAAACCCAAAGGACTTCCATGTTGGCAAAGGGTTCTCGGAAAGGAGGTACAAAGAGCCCTTCGTGTGACTTTTATGTGGCTATATGATGCACTGTACTTCATAGATCTGTAAACACCAACGTGCGTATGGCAACGCTGTGCATGCCCCGCACGTGCGGCATCCAGCAATATTTGCACTTGTAGCTTGGTGAAGTTCGATGCTCGACTTGACTTTGTCTTAGACTTCCATTTGGGAACAGAGCCAGAGGAGGTGGCATTACTTTGTTTGCTGTGACCACAGGGCTTCTGGGTTGTACGCCGCATCTAGATTCCAGATTCATGGGTTTGCCTGGTTCACCCGACATCTTGCATGAGCTGTCTCCACTCTGTTCGGGAAGACCAATTGAAACACTGTGATCAATGATGTCTCATCTTTCTTTGGACTTGATTGCAGAATCAACTGCAGCCTGCTCTGTCGTACCTGTTGTGTCCCATCCTCGATTATACAATTTTATCAACCAAAGTCCAACACAAGGTCCAATCGCACGATCCAGCAGATTCAGTTCACCGGCTCTTCAACTTCAACCCCCTGCCAAATCGGTGCCCTTGCTTTGCAAAAGCATTCTACAGTAATTGCAAACATCAATCGATCTTGCAAGTTTCCATGGTCGAATTTGTGCGATGTAGATCCCATCTCCATCCACCAAGAGGCTCTGCCACACCAGCAGTGGGCACTGGAGACAGCGCATCAGGGAATCAGCACATGAGGGCCTTGACTCTGATCCCATCGTCTCCTGCAGTTCTTCCTCAAATTCAGAGGTCTCTTCCTCGGTCTGGACCAAAGTGGACATCATAAGGACATAAAACCCCCACCTGCAGCAGGGGTTGCACAGTCGATGTGGGCACGGCGTCACACTTCTAGGCATTCATGAGATTGCTGGCTTCTCAGGTTTCCCAAGGAATTTTGGTCAGCTTCCAGGCTTCATGCAATCTTTCGACCCAAAACCGAGCGTCGAAGTGCTGGTGATCCTGCTCGGCCCTCTGCTTCCGCACCATGTACGACACCAACTCTTCATTTCCAACTGTTTCGTTGATCTTTCGGCGTTCCCGACCTGAGCTGAGCACCAACACAGAATCATCCAATCATCCAAAATGCCGAAGCTTTGCAGGAAGAAAGCACGTGTCTGCTCACCCTGTTGGGGTTCATCGGGTTGCGCAGGTACTACTGCTGCTACTGCTGCTGCTGCCGCTGTGGGGTGTCTCAAGTCATCGGAGACGTCCTAAGTTAAACCATCCCACCATTGCATTTATGTCAGAAACTAGGGGGCTAGAGTACGAAGCATCATTCTGAGCTGCTTGGAATGCCACTGAACCATAGACCAAAGAGGTGAGGGTTTCGAATACAATAGCAGCCAGAACCACAGATATATTTGGAAGCTCTTTCAGCCACCAAGGTGCACCACTGCCGGTAGCATGGGCCCTATGATGTTCCACAGTACTCTGTGGGCCTGGAGGGTCAAGATGTTTAAGTTGGCGTTTGCAGAATGGTGACGCGAATATGGTGCACTGATAGCCCTGGCTCAAATCGACAAACAAAGGGGATGTACTCACAGCCAAGCCAGGGGTACTAACCTGGGATACCCTGGATTCAAAATCCAAGAAACATGAGCCGTGTGATTCCAGAAGGGATGAATGTTGAATGATGGACAAAGTACACATGTTTGGCACTTTTGCAGGTCCCAAACTACTAGTAGTTACTACCCCTGGACCAAGGGACAGAGAATTATCACTGCCGGCACGGTGATCAAGAGACTAACTCCTGGCGCAAAAATCAACGGCAACTTCTTGACCCAAAAGAGGTGCGGTTCCTCTTCAAGCTTAGGGCCTTACTAGTAGCTCCTTGCTCCTAGTAAGGCCAGGAGCTACTAGTAGCGTCCTTGCTCCTAGTAGCGATGCCGTTTGTTCCTAGTAGCTTCTTGCTACAAATGAAAGCCAACAAGTACATGGAGTAGAAGTAACCACAATAGGAATCTCCTTTGCTAAGCCTGGAGAAAATCTTAACTGAGAACCCGGGGCTCGAAGATCGCATCAGCCACGCCAACGATGCTGCATGGGACTGAATTGTGAACACGACAAAAGTTTGAAGCTCACAGAACTTGGAGACAATCGCTAGTAGGTTGGAGGCCAGGGTACAGCCGTGCCGACTCCCACAGCGAATCAGTTAAGGTCCCGCAATCGAGTCTTGCTGAAGAGGATGGAGGGAGGGTCAGATGAGTTTCACACAACCCCACATCCTGTGAGTGATTTCCCTAAAATCAGGCAATCACTGAGGCACTCACATGGGAGTTGGCTTGGCTGTCACCAGCTTAGTAGCTTCACAACGGCTCCTCCCACAACTGCCAGCCAGAGCTGCAGAGGTTGGTTGCAAGGTTCATTCCAGCTTTGTAGGGCAACGAACAGGGCGATTCCTGAAAGCAAGGCTCGTCGAAGAAACACAGGTTTCCTCGAAGAAACACAGCTGTCTTTTTGGGGGAGCTCCCCAAAGATCTGGCTGGGTTAGAATGACAGTGTACTGAATAACCCACGAGACTGAAATGTGCGTGTGAGGTCACCTGATGAACCTCGGAAGTTCCCCAAATAGTTCGATGGCCCAGGAAAGAAACAATTTTACTCTGTGTTGGTGCTTTGGTTCTGAGTCTTTCAAGCTGCTCTTTAAACCAACCACCGGGCGCTCAGCAATGTTCTTGCCTCGCGACCGTGTCACCCGGCTTCACTCCTTGTGGGATCGCTTCAATGAGCACCGAGGCAGCACCTTTCGTGTCAATGGGGAGGGATTGCAGATGTCCAAAACAAAAACCCTTCCTATCAACTATTTCAAACACACTCTGGGTGCCTCGAGGGCTTGCATGTGGAGGAGGACTTGGGGCTGGCCCTCAGAGATGTATATAGTCCAGTTGATCGCACGCAGTGTCAATCTTCCATAGGATCAAACTCTCTCGTGGTCTCCTCCCACTGGAACAACCTTTGTTTACAAGCCCTGCACATCTTCAAACGATGATGTGTGGCTTCCCGTGCGACGACTTTTCATGGCCTGCACCAATCATGGCGGACGCACTTCCAGCAGCCATCCCGACAAAATTCACCATTTGCTGTGTATCCCCTCGCCTCAAGACTTGCATCACGAGGTGCTTCCAAACACTTGGGCGATGGTGTGAAGGAGTCCAAACATTCAGCATTGTGTGCTCTGGGGAAAAACATGTCATTATTCAAAGGGCTATTGATTGCCAACATCAACACAACCCTTGTCGTAGCTTGCGAGTTCTATGCGAGGTTTTTTGCAGTTGCCATAAAGAACGAGTCGACCCCCAAAATCGCCCTTGCATCCAAGAAACTCAATTTCAGCCATGATCGCGGTTGGTGGTTTGGTGTGTTTAGAAGCAGTAGGCGCGCCTCGCCACAATCGACGACTTGTGAATGTGTTGATTGTTCATCTCATATTGCTACGCGGAGGAAAAAACGTGAGGTTTTGGATCTGACCTGACCATGAACTTGGACCCCGCCACCAGGCAACTATCAAATCAGTTGGTGGTTCCACACCTTGTGATAAATTGCACACCTCAACAGCTAGCATCCTCCAAACAGCACGGGTTTGACGATGATCACTTCACCACGATCCCTAGTTGCTCTAGTTGCTCGGTGGGATCGATTAAGTCGTATGAACATTTTTGAAGTCCCAACTGTCAGGCGCCTGCAGCCGAGAGATCAACAGATCCACATGGGCTTCGAAAAACGTGCGCGTTGCATGTCTGCGTGGTTGTGCGGCATGTACTTAGCTGGTTTGGGCACAAAAATTCTAAACAGCCTCAAAAATTGAAACAGTGTTTAAAGCGGTCGGAAAAATCTGTACAGTACATACACGCATGTCAAAAAACATGTGTAGGTTCTAGGCCCTCGCACCTTTTTGGGGCCTTGTGCAAAAGCGGCTTCACACCGTTTGGTGTTTGGTTTGTTCATGACCCTTTTGGTACACTTCGTTTTTGTGCGTGTCATCCTTTGCGGACCAGCACTCCTCCCTGCTCTCTATGAGCAGCTCTCGAAAACTGAACCTTTTTGGCCCAAACCGCTCTACACTCCACAGACTTTGCACTGTCTGATTTCCAGCATAGTTCCTGTCACCCCGCCACATCGTGGATCTATATGCAGGTTTCCCAGCTGGTCCTCATACAAGTACGTCGTTTGGCCATGTGGCCTCTGTCGTTGAGTCGCTTGTTGACATGCTCCACAGATTGGCTTGGCTTGCTTGTGGTTGGCATTGCGCAAACCTCGGCAGTCTTCACGTCGATGGAAGCACTGACTGCTCTCTGCGAACCATGCCTCCCAAGTTGGTTCTGACCTGAATCGCCTTCTCCGTCCCGTGGACGAGATCACATAATGTTCATCAGCTCTATTCGGAAGGTCGAAGTTGGATGCTCTGCCAGTGCCCTCGGTCTCGACAAGGACCAGGTGGTCTCTCCATCCAGTGCCATGGGACTCGAAATTGATCTCATTGACCTCACTCTAATGGAGTCTTCATCATTTCCCGGGTTCCATCGGCTTCGACACGTTGGAAGGATCTTCATGAGCACCATTCCCAGCAACATCATCATGACGCTGAGGAGGTAGTACAACACCTGGTCACCTTCCGCATTCTCGACGGCCTCCTTGGTGGCATTCTCGGCCATTGCTGCATGGACTTCTTGCAGAGCAGAACCATGGCCTTCTCCAAGTGGTACTTCGCCACCAACCTCACAGCGCAAGGAGCGACTGTGCCCTTGTCTTCCTCATGGACTTCATCAACTCGTGCGACTGGTAAAGCCTTGGTCCCAATGTCGGCAATCAGTTCTCGTCCTGGTTGATACTTCAGCTCCCATTGGCGAGCAGCTCGCTGCTTCAAGTGTCTAGTGCGCCAAGCCCCCGTTGCGCAGCTTGCCATCACGGCCGCAGTGTTCTCACACTTGAGGAACTTTGGAACATCTCTCACCATTTCATCCACCAGGCACCAGACGACCACTGCTTCAAACGACTTCGATCAACTCGGCTTCAGCCGTTGACAATGCAAGAAATGGCGGTCTGCAGCTTTTTCCATGCCACAGGTGTTCACCCACGGTTGTGATCACGCATCCATTGGGCTGTGGGCTCCTCCTAGAGCAAACAAGGCATCGCTGACGGACTCCAGGATGAAGTTGACATCCCTTTTGCACCACGCCAAGTCCCTGGGAGGCATTCAGATGTCTGATGAGTTGGTAGGCTGTTTACAAACAAAAAAACCCAAAAAGCTGCAACCTGGTGTGTGTGGCTCGTGTGGTCATGTGGACCAAATCGGTGGAGAGAGGGGCAATGAATTGAGCATCGGCTCTCCTGTTCAGGACCGTGAGGTTTTGTGTTGCTCATCTCATTGGGTCTCTCGTCTTTCATGAATGATTCTTCCATGCAGGCGAAGCGTCCTGATTCAGAAACGCTGTGCTCGTGACCGAGTATGGAGTAGTACTCACAATCCAAAAAAAGGCCACTTTGCAAGCACTGTGTTGCCAGATGGGAGTTTCAAGGGTGCTTGACATCAGCAGTCGAAACACTCAAAACAAGCATCATGCGGTTTTTTTGTTGCTTGCAAAACTGTTGGAAGTGGACTGCAGGCGGACAA